TCGTGAGTTTTAAGCTAGGTCCGAGACTTGAATCATAGCCACCTACGTGGGAATCCAGCAACATAACCATTACACCATCTACTAATCCTGTGTGTTGTTTTTAAATCACTAAGTTTGCTGTAATTTATTACAGTAATAATGAGCAAATATGCTACGTAAGCATTGTTTCGAAGAATAAATAAGATAACAGACACAGTGTTTGGCCAGTGTCTGCTCACCAATATTGAGTATCATGGTCTCTTTCCAGTTCAGTTAAAAATACTCAATGGAATTTGGTCCCTCACAGCTGTTAAGTTCCTATGTACAAATTTGTTGGGTTTTACTTGAAAGGCCAGGTACAGTACCTGAAAGGCGCTGGGCTCTCAGGAGCTATAACCGGGAGATCTGAGCGGCTGAGATCCTGATGCTGTTTTCGATTCATAGCCTTGGGGGATGTTGGCCCTGCTGTTATTTAACTTTCTGGCCAGTTGCTTCTTGCCAAAAGTCAGATCAACAGAGCCTCTCTGAACCGTTTCCAGAGTTTGGATCTCTTGTTCCTTGTCCAGGTATTCCTACTTATACATGGTAGTGTAGATTACCCCCCTGGCCCCAGTACAGCTCCCAGAAATGGTTCATGGGTGGTTCAGATGACAGACTCCGGAATCATTGAGCAAAAAGACAAGGTTCTCGATGGGATCAAGAATCCAGTTCTGAGCCAAGGGTCAGGAAGCCTGGTTTTGAACCTGAGTGGTTGAGGCCTCTGGGTGATTGAGGCCCCAGTTTCTCCATATCTACACTGTAGGCTCTAATCCCTACTGTGACTCCATCGCGAAACTGCCTTGTCATTCACTGAGGTGGTAGGCAAGGGAGTACTTTGGTCAAAAGGGTGTAAAAATCATGGAACGGTGTAGCATAAGGAAGGAATGAAGGAAGAGGAAGAACAGGAGGAGGAGGGAAATCTCTAGAGGGTAATTCTAGCCCCACTTTCAGTTACTTGTAAAAGCCAAGGTCTCTCCACTTCAGGGTCTTGATGCTTATTCTCCTCTTGCCTGGAATACTGTTTTTCAGGCTCTTTTTACTGACTTTTCAATGAACTTTTTTCCTCATTTTACCTCCTCTAGAAGGCAGACCCTGACTACCTTATCCAAGGTAGTCCCCTCATTGCTTTCTCATTACACCCTTTATGTTTCACCCATAAAACTGATTGTATTTATTGCCTGCCACCACTCGTATGTAAGCTGCACAAGGGCAGAGTCTTGGTTTGTCCTACTGTTTGCCATAGTCCTGGTACAGGATGCAAGGTACAGTTCAGATTGATTGGATGAATAGATGAAGTAGCTGGTGTTCTGAGCAGGCAGGAAGCCTAGATGTCATGCATCTTGCACCTTCTCCCAGGCAGTGGGCCAGTAGAGCACTCCTGAGTCTGAAGTGCTAAGTCAGGTAGGGCGGGGTCAGGGCGCAGTGGGTGGTGCCTTGCAGAGCCTTAGTGCAAAGTGGCTGGAGGGATCACTGGGCAGGCAGTGGGAATCCCAATGGACCGACTCCTCACTTTGCAAGATGCAAACTGATCCAAACTAATCCAGCAACAAGCTCCGCTAAGGAGAGGGCTGCCAAACGACTGCACAGTCGAGTCTAGAAATCCTAGAACTGGAGGGGAATATAGGAGAGGGAAGAGGGAAATAGTCATGAACTGAGGGTCTGGTTTCCCCTAGACTGGGTTTGAATTACTAATTTGCCATGTACTTGGTGCATAAACTAAGACAGATTATTGATCTGAACCTCCCTTTCTGTAGTTATAAAACAGGAATAGTAATGGTTCCTTCTTCACCAGGTGTTTCGATCCATTTTTCTGTTGCTAACTGAATACCACACTTAGTAACTAATAAAGAGGTTTATATAGCTTACAATTTTGGAAATCCAAGGTTAAGGGGTCTCTGATGAGGGTCTTAGTGGGACAGTTTCATGAGCTCATCCTCATCAGGATCATCATCTTAGTCTATGAAGAAAAAAACAAAGCTTCAGCTAATTTTAGTTGCCAAGATGCCAGGGAGCTATAGCAACCAATCCTATAAAAATATACATCTGTCCAGATGGCAAAAAGAGTATCTGAGGACTTTGCCAGAACCCTGTAATTAACGTTGGATGAGGAAGAAGTCTTGGGGGTCATTTGGGCAGGGATTCCTTCTTGGATTCCTGACCAGATCTTTTGAGAATCTAGAGAAAGTGATGAACTTTCTCAGCAGAAAAATGCATAGATTCCCAAACTTTTATATTCTGAGTGAGATCAGTATTGGACACCATTCCAGGATGAACCCTAGTACAAGACAGCCCCGTCTTTTTTTTTTTTTTTTTTTTTTTTTTTTTTTTGGTTGTGTGTCT